CGTATGTTAACAACAATCACTCAACTTAACGCAGCTTTGTAACTTAACGCGAAAATGTCGCCTCTCTCAACGCGTGTAATTGATAGACGAAAGGAAGCGAGTTTTTTTTGGGTAAGCCATGGATCACTATACAATCAGCTTAAGTTATCATATCCAGAGCCGTTAACCGATATTGTCAACTCTTTAATTATATTGACATATTTGTTGTAACTTAATATTACCTAATCCGATTATAAAATTCAGCTTTCTGCTTTCATTATCTTATCATCCAAATTCAAGAACTTTATCCCGTTCTTTCGGATGAATAGTTAGTTATTTACTTTTCTCGCTGTATTGTTTTATTTTTGTTTTGTTTCTTGTTGTCTGTTAATTTTTCCTTGTGTTCTCGATAGTGTCTGTCGACCTCGCTTCTCTTTCTGACATCTTATATTCAGTTATATGATTACATATTAAAATCAACCAATCACATTTTTTTTCCTGTTCTGTATTATACGCACACTGTATAGTCCAGGGTGTGACTACTCTGTAGAAGTACCAAATTTTCTTTCAAATTCCCAAATCTGTTAACGAAGATTCTGATTATTGCGTATTAACTTCATCATTTCAGAATTCTTGAAATATCTTGACAAGATCTGCTCTAGATTTATCACGACAGATTCTGATACAAAACTTGTGGATAATCTGCAGCATTGCCATCCATTCAAAATCTTGACAGATTTGGATAAATCTGCACAAGTTCTTAAAAGATCTGGGGGAAACTTGATAAATCTTTAACCCTTTCAGTCCCGGCGACTCCTTAAGGAGTTACCCATGTTTTTCTTTTCAGCATTAAAGTATGGACTTCAGCTGATTTCACAGTTCAATAGAGGTCAACAATATCTTCAAATTGACATATCGAACTACTATTTCTTACGTTCACACATCCTCCCACAATCTCCTTTTCTCTGATATAGTGACATTCGACATTGGGATTTTCCTTTAGTACTATTCTGCGTATATTGGATTGTACATACCAAGTTGTATTGTATTGTATATATATGGATTGTATATACCAAGTGTCGATAGAAATAATAGAATACGCCGAAGACAATGTATTGTATGGTCATCACACCAAGAACACAAACAACTTATATCTGTGCAGAGTGTGATGTTCCTCTTTGTGTTCCTGTTTGCTTTAAAAATTATCACACAAAACTGCATTATTAGTTAGAATTTCTTTGTATTCTCATAAAAACATCTTTCCTTTTCTTTGAAATACGAAATACAAATGAAATAAAATAAGAAATTTAAAAAAATAATTTTTCACTTCTTCGAAAAAAAGCCGGGACTGAAAGGGTTAAAGATTTACCAAGATTTGCATTCAAGATTTTTCACCTGGGTATATTTCGTCTTCGGAGCCAGCTTTACCCGTCGGTTAATTGGGGGTTTAACCTAGTTGGCAACCTTCCGCTCCTACTCGATTACGATAACCTAGTATTTGCTTCACTACTAGGTCGAAGCTAGCTAACTAGGTAAAAGAGGCACATTTAGCTAGATCCATCAAGTGAATAACCACCCGGTTGTGTAATCAATGGAGCTAGATTTTCTCCGTAAAGCATTTTTGCTTGAGGGAGAGAAACAAGTACTTTTTCAAACGTAACACGACATTTTGTGTGACAATGCTTTTATTGAAAAGTTACTCTGTCTTTATCATTATATTTTTTTCTTATTTCATTCAGATAAAGAAAAAGAAAGAAAAGGAAAGAACATAATTTGTCAATGCTATGAAATTACCACACACATGGTGAAACGTGTTTATAACTTTCATCAGAAATCAGAAAGTTATCTTTTCATCATATAAAGTCTTTTACAATAAGGAGAAATAAACGTAATTCAATGAAATTGGCAAATTATTGTTGATTAATCAAATAAGTACGTGTTTATATTTTTTAAAAAGTGACAAAGTATCGGACTAATTTGCCCATCTTAATTTTACTTCTCGCGCACGATCTTTTTTAAAACGACTTTCGTTACTAGCACTAGCAAAGATTATCTAACCATCATCAGTCTGCTTTTAGATCATTGTCATGATAAATTCAAAACGAAAACATAGCGAGACAGACAAAGTAGATAACAACCCTATTCAAACGTCACAAGAAGAGACTGATTGTGCAGTCCAACATAAAGGTATTTCAGCTGCTGATATATCGATATGCGCCTCGGTTTTGTCGGCTTTCGATGACAAAAACAGTTTTCTTTCTGTCAAAAGCTCTGAATATGCGATATTACGACCATTAGTCTACCGTTTATTCACATTAGACAAAAAGTACAAGGCTGAAAGACGCCGAGATCGACGACAAGAATTTAAAACCAACGATCAAAAAAAAAAATCTCTAACGGTATTGCGTTCATCTCGCGCAAAAGCCTTGAAACATTTACAACTGCAAAATATTCTCGTTCCAGACGGCGTTGTAGTTGAAACAAAAGACTCTCCCACACCTGAATTGTTTAAGCAGGTGCTCAATCTACCAATAATGTGCTACATTTGCAAGGTAAAATACAACACACTGCATTTTTTCTACGATCGTCTATGTCCAACGTGTGCTGACTTCAACTATCAAAAACGATCGCAGACGGTCGATATGTCCAATAAAATAGCTCTGGTCACTGGTGGTCGAATCAAAATTGGTTATCGAGTCGTTCTAAAACTATTGCGTTCAAACTGTTTTGTAATATCGACAACTCGATTTCCCGTCGATTTTGTGAGACGATTGAAAGCGGAGACGGACTACGATCAATGGAAATTGAACATTCATGTGTACGGAGTCGATTTTCGATTTATTGATGTTGTAGAAAATTTTTGTCAATTGTTGCTTGATAAATACGACAAACTTGATATTATTATTAATAATGCGTGCCAAACAGTTCGAAGACCAGCTCCTTTCTATGCTCATTTAATTGCGCACGAAAGAGTCAATTATGCGTTGCTGTCGAGTGATGAACACTATATTTTGGGCAATAATAATGAGTTTTGGCAACATCAGTCAATAGCATATTCAAGCAGGCAAAATCAGCAATTAGCTATAACTGCATCACATGAGGACGAAGGAACGTTGACATCGTTATGCTGTGAATCAACTCAAATCAACCATGTACCCGTTTCCCCGACGTCTGTTGTTCGAGACTTTCCTCTCGCTGCGTACGATGTTAATCAGCAACAAATTGATTTGAGAACCCAAAACTCATGGACAATGAAATTAGGTGACCTATCGACCGTTGAAATTAATGAAGTGCTGACAATAAATACATTGGTTCCATTTATTTTGAACAGTCGATTAAAGAGTCTTATGTCAAAGAGACAAGACGATATGAAATTTATCATTAACGTTAGTGCGATGGAGGGCTCGTTTAGTCGAAGAAATAAAACAGACAAACATCCACACACGAATGCTGCTAAAGCCGCACTCAACATGATGACAAGAACATCAGCAAATGATTATGTGAAATCAAATATTTACATGGTGTCGGTTGATACTGGTGAGGCGTTATCATTCATTCTTCTCAGAAAGAATAAAATAGTTTTCTCGTTGTAGGATGGATTAATAGTGAAAATCCTGTGCACATGGCCATGAGAATAATGCAAAAACAAGATTTTCAAACACCACTAGACGAAGAGGATGGAGCTTCTCGAATCCTAGACCCGATTGTGACAGCATTTCACAATATTGCAAATGGCGTAACTGAACTCAACATACCTTATGGCTATTTTTTGAAAGATTATAAAAAATGCCAGTGGTGAGATTATCAAGGTATCCAACAAACCACATGTGCAATGCGATAAAATGTTGAATGATTTACTGAAACAACTGCATGTGTCTTCTCAGAGGAAAACCTGAGATTTCAAGCAACAACCGTGAACGGTTCAGATCTACAGATGCCCGAAAGTTAAAAGTGTGGCTTGACTGTAAGATTTTCGACATTATGCTCAGGAAACTAATTTTTGTGTATGTTCTCTTAGCAAGAACTTAGCGTATTCTTCAGCTAGTGACGGCTCAAATAAATTTTTTTTTGGATACCAGCATGCGCTTGCTTGTTTCATATCCTTTATCACACGTTTGTTTTCGTAAATAATTTTTTTAACAAAATATACTGATGAAAAGAGAGAAAAATTAACAACACTGAGAAATTGAGCCTCTTACCCAAGCAAAAACAGTGAAACTAAAACGGGGCGGTTGGAGCTGGGTAATACGGTTAAGCTAGCTCCACCTCAAAAAGCTTAATCTAGGATCGGGTGGTTCAACCTACTTTAGAGCAGTTGGGGAGGTTATCACCTGGGTTAACCGCCCACTTAACCTAATAGAAAATACTTCGGTTTTAAAAAGGTTTCGCAGAAATCTTCGAAACTAAGAGAATATTTTTTAAATATGATTCTACGTACAGAATCAGAATAAGCGGATAAAATGGAGTATATCTTGATATTCTGAAGTAGATTGAACTGACCGGTCAAGTTAGTTTCTAACATCATATACATTAGACACAAGAAGGTTATTGGCTTGGTTAACCACCCACTTCGCAGACCGATCCAGCTAACTCTACTTGATCGAGCTCCAACCGACCATTTAACCGTCCGCTCATGCTAGTTTCTAGCATCAAATACATTAGACACAAGGAGCCGCTCAATGCTTTTTGTACTATTCATTCATAATTCGGCTCTTTTCGATATTACGCACTAGAAAACCTCACAAAAAGTACCTCCTCAAAAGTACAACCCTTTTGTAGATTCGAACCCAAGGGTGGAAAAGCTAATTTGGAGCACTTTTCGATTTTGATCGATCCGATTTAAATCGATTTTGTGGCTCAAAATCGATTATTACCATAGTTCTTTGAAAACGAGTGAAAAAAGAAGACCGTTAGCTGAACAAGCCGAGTAGTTCTAATAGTTTTATAAAAAAGACCGACTTAGGGTGTCAAAAATGTCACAACGTCACGCTTGGACAAGCCGTTAAAGCGAATGTATGATACACGGAAAGAAGGATGACACTTGGGAGCACAAGTACATACGTATCGATTCCACTTTTATGCATGACAATGTGTTCAAAATAACTTTCTTTCGTTGTGCTTTGAGCTGGCAAATAATGAAGATTGAAGTTTTCACAGTATTTCATATATATTCCTTTACTTTTATTGTACGTAAAAAATCATTCAATATATTTTTTGTAGAGAATAAAACGGCGAACATTTGAAAAGAAGAAATAACTCCGTATCCTTAAAGGAAAAAGCGCTATAGTCAAAATACTGAGAGCCTCAGAAATTATGACACACCCTGTCAGTAGCTAGTTGACTGATGATTATTCTTCCAAAAGGGAATCTGAGTAATAGCCACAATATTTGAGTGAATGTAAGTGTTTATCAGAGTGAGGATGTTTGTTATAACTTATATAAAGGTGGGTACATGAAAAACGGAAGTAAAGCACAGACATGAATTCCTTCTAGTTTTTCAAAAGATTTTTCTGATAGCAAAAATGATCTGAGAAACTTTTAAATATATGAAAAGAAAGCCCACACTCTGCGCTTCAAAATTATGTAAGATACTTGATGATTATCACTTTCGTTCTTTCGTTTTTTTTCCCATAGCTTGAGCAATAATGCAATATTCATAGTGATCCATGATTTTGTTTGGTCCATATTTTTTCGTTTAATAAGCATGGCCAAATAGAATAAAAGACACTGTCCTATACAGAAAAGTGTGCTTTATAATACAACGACTTTTAATTTTGCTTACTATTAATTTCTTGGTCAAGCGCTAGCCATTTTTCATGATACTTATTCCACAGTTATTTGAAAATGTCTGCTAATTTCGTTGAATCTACTCATGGTAAAAGACAACTAAATCATCTTGGCTATCGATATTGTTTTAAACGTAAAAATCGAAACTCGGAATACTGGGTACGTGTACAATGCATAGCAGCAGCAACAACTTATCTAGATAAATTCATCACATCCTAATATTTACGGAAAGTATATATATACTGCTTAATTAGTATACATATGTTATCTAATTATTGGAAAGTAAATCTGTTATAGTAAAAAAACATATATCTCTACTTTTCTATAAGAAAACAACTAATTAAGATAAAAATTAATCCTCGGAAAGTAAATCCTGTAAACCGACTATAAGTACAGGTCATTCAATTTATTTTGAAATGATTTGCATGCAGTTTTTCTTTACAAATCATTTCAGAAAAAAGATTTCTTACTATACTAAATGATAGACAATTTAATTCTCTACAAGATTGTATATTCATTTTAAGATTCATCTTTGATGTTTGATACAGTAAATCTAACAGCAAAAACTCCAAATTTTCTAACTGCACCACGCAGTTTTAAAATGCAAAAAGTTCTCTTCTTTTAATTGCTTATAATGAGTACAAAAGGAACTAAAATAATTTTATTACAGGCAAATGATGAAGGAAATATAATTCAATTGTTAGTGGCTTTGATACATAAACTTTCAAGTCTATTAAAGTTTCCAGCACTAAAAATATGCTTTGACTATTCCAGTATAAAATCCAAAGTTCAAGTCATTAGTCTATAGACCAAAAAATGCAAAATTTCGCACTCTGTTAGACTGTGTAACTTACAAATAAATCTGCTACTTTTTTTACCTGAAAAACTAGGAAATACTGGTTGTCGCTAACGAGGACACCCTCTGAGTAGTCCAACTGGCTCTTGAAGGTTCGGTTTTGCTCGGTTTTCTGGAAAACCAGTTTTCAAGAACCAAAAAAAAATAACCGAAACCCTTTTTTAATAAGGCATGATTGTAGCGCGCAAATTTCTGATTAAAATGAGATATCTCTCAGCTCTACACAACCTTTCTTTGCAAAGTTATAGAATTTACAAGACAAGCCCTAAATGTTCATTGTCAGCTCTAAGCTACAGAAATAAGAAATTAATTTCTTTTCTTGTAAATTCTAAAGAAAGGTTATGTAGAGCTGGAAGATATCTCATTTCAATCAGAAATTTGCGCGCTACAATCATGCCTTACTAAGAAAGGGTTTCGGTTAATTTTCAGGGTTCTTGAAAAACTGGTTTTCCAGAAAACCGGCTCTTCGAGAGCCATGGGCGCGAACCATTTTAGACTTTTTATTACTTCGATATATACTATCAATAGGTATATGAGCGAAAGAAAACTGATTTGAACATCTCAGAGGGTTTCCTGGTAAGATATTCGAAAAATTGGAGAAAATGATCTCACTTAAAGACTCTTTTTCGCTCTGATTTCATCTAAAAGAATTTGTTTGTTATTAAAACAAACATCACATTGTAGAAAACTTCTTGCTTCGGTATACCTTGTTTTGTCGAATAAATGATTTTCAGCTAGGTTTAGCGCAAAAAATCAATTTCTTGAAGGTGTACTTAAGAAGTTTGACTTACCTTTCCTGTTAGACGTATTATACCAAACATCAAAGATGAATCTTAAAATGAATATACAATCTTGTAGAGAATTAAATTGTCTATCGTTTGTATAGTAAGAAATCTTTTTTCTGGTTTGTAAAGAAAAACTGCATGCAAATCATTTCAAAATAAATTGAACGACCTGTACCGACTCACCATACTTTTTGCGAGTAAAAGATAAGAAAGAAGAACGAACAATAATCGATTATCATGTAACGCCTTTCTTTCATTCTTTCTGTTTAAAAAAATCTGTTGACGAATTTCTGCTGGAAGCATTTTTGGATGCTACATTAGAATAGGCATTGTCAGTTTGAAGTGTTCGCAAGAATTTTACTTTGAGTTCAAATTTTTCTACATAGTAAGTTACATTTTGACGAGATTATTCATACTTTTACTGGTTTTCAATAGTTCTAGTCAGAAAACTAAATTGACGCTACGACTTCCCATTCGAACATTTAAATTCTCCCATATACAATTCTTAATCATGTAGTAGATTTCTAAGACATACTGTTAATAGTACTTAGGGTGTACCAAAAGTTCTTACCATAAAGATGAAAGATGGCTTCCTTCCCCGTGGCCAGAACTTTTCGTCAACAACCATAAGATGCAGCGTGAAGAGCTCGACAGTTTACACAAAACCGCTTTCTTCATACTTCCACTTTTTGTTTTCAAAAGCGACAAAATTCTGAGCAATCAATTTTCGACGCTGCGAAAAGCGGTTCCTTAGAATTTTTGCTTTTTTTGAAAACAAAAAGTACGCAATTAGAATAAGTTGTTTTGTATGAATTGTTGAGCTTTTTACGCTGCATCTTGTGGTATATTCTGTTTTTATTAAGAAAGCGTATTAGGTGATAAACAGATGAAATACGAAAAAAGGAATTCCTCGTTCGTCTACAATTTTTGCATCATCGAAAATTAGTCGCTCAGAATTTGATCACTTTCGAAAACAAAAAGTGGAAATACAAAGAAAGCGATCTTGTGCAAACGCTGCCTTTGTGGTATAAGAGTTGACCAAAAAATCAGGCCACAGAGACGGGGGCAACCTCTCATCTCCGTGACCAGACCTTTTGGTACACCCTAAGTATTTTATTATGCATAACAACAACAATAATAAAAAACACAGTAACAAATAAGCGTATAAGATACAACACACAGTTAAATACTGCAAAAAATTCTGCGTCCTTGAAAGAAAATTTTTGCAAAATACTTAAGAGGAAAAAATTGTATTTCGAATGTTTCAACATATGAATAAAATCTAGGCACGATTTTCTATATTTTTGACATCAAAATGAAACTTTTTGATCAAGTTTAACTTGGTGTCATTTTCTCTGTCCGACCCGCTACAGAAGATCAGAAAATATATTTGAATAAAAATAATTTTTATTTTAAACATTCAAATGTTTAAAAGTTCTGCGCCATTTTTCATGTTTATTGCGCTATTTATTTATTTGAAATAGTCCATTTTTGTATTATTTCGGTTACAAGACAGACAGATAAAAGTTTACCAGAGATATCGATATAGCGTCTTTGATAGAGTTAAATGCCTTCTTGGAAAAAATTTAAAAAAACTGGACGCTTGCGGTCGCAAAGGGGATGTAAGAGTCGGATGTTGCCGGTTTTGACTGATATCAGCTCACTAAATTTGCACAAAGACCAAACAATTTTTTATAGGTTATCGACTATGCTGACTACTTTATAAAAAGAAATATGTTTAAACGCATTCTTCTTAAGTGCAGCTCTTACTGAGGGAGTGCTCCCGATCACATAATAATCTCACAGCACTTGATTCTATTCTGTGTTTATAGCGGTATTTACGTGTGATGAAAGTTAAGCAAGATCCGTTAAAAACAAGGCTATTTTCGTCACACTCGACGGAACTTTCGTCATCAACGTGTGAACTTTCGTCACAGCCACAAAAAGCACTCCGAAATTCACGGAAACTTACGTCAACATGCTTTTTTCTGAAAAACACACTTTCGTCACATGTGACGAAAGTATACTCCCCCTATGACGAAAGTTCCTTTTACCAGAAAAACTGATAGATTATCATCTCAGTTTCCGGAGAGCCGGACTGGCCTTCTAAACATCTCCTAGAAAACCGATCTTTCGGAAAACAGTTTTCCTTATGAAAACATAGGCTAAGCTGTCCTCTTCCTATTACTGAATACCGCAAGTCTCTATCTTCTACCGTCTTTCACTTATTCAAAAAAACAATAGGTGCCATCACCTTCTAAATACGTTTGAAAGAAAGAAATAAAAAAAACGATCGGACATACAATTTCCTGTTCCCTCCTCACTCCCCTCGTCCGACTTTTCCCGCTTTTAGACGATTCTAACACCTTCGTTCGGACGTCCTTTATGGATATTATTTTAGCAATGATAAATGGCATCGATCATTGTATGGTCCAACATTTTTGGTTAATTTCATGCTGATAATTTAGACGGTGTGTCACATGAAGCATCAAAATTAATGTACAGAGTATGTAAGGTTAACTGTAACTTAGATCAATATAAATCAGATGAAGCTACAATAATGAGTATGTTCATCAAAGGGATTTTTGAGAAAGACGTAGATTTTATAAACATAATTCAAAATCTATAACCAGCGTTCAGAAGTCTTTGTTAATATCCATTAATGACGAATAAGAATACCTCCTACGACTTTGTCCTGCATATAATTCACCGATATCTCTATCAAATAAGTGATTTTAATGAATAAATATGATTTACATGGCTATGACTATTCATCTGGCGGATTCTGCGGAACATAACTGAACTTTTTTGGTTTACCTAACATTGGATGATAGCAATATTATTATGAGCACTTGAACTTTATGTTCTTTGTTATGAAACACTGAACATCTATAATGTCTGAAGTGCAAAAATTTCTTCTTGATAAAACTAATACGAACAAAACTTTTGAATTGACTTAAGCAAAAAAGGAAAAAGCACCGAGAAATTCGTAAAAACTTTTTATTTAAAGTAAAAGGCAGCTTTTTTTCTTATCAGACATCTCAGAAAAAGAAGAGAAAAAGTTGAGTTTCACCGAAAAATAATACACCAATGTCTGCTTTTTGACTAAATTACTTCAATATTTCCATAAGTTAAACTTTATATGTTCCATATAAACTGTGCTCTTTATGCCATTTTTCAATGCCTTCAATCCCCGTTGGATATCGTTGAAATGTTGTTATATGTTTTCCTTTCGGTATTTCAATATGATTTAGTTTAAAATCGGTCATTATATGAATTTGTTCAGGTGGCACGGGCAGTGGTGTATCAATTGAACTTGCAAACGGATAAACCCATTGTTCATATTCAGAACTGTGAGCCCACAAGTAAGAACCACATTCTGAACAAAAATGACGTTTATGTTCACTTAATTTATTTGGATCTTTTTCTTTTGAACCTGCTTCTGTTTCACTAGATTTTGCTTGATAAATTTTAACAAATTCATTTCCCTGTTTTACTTTAAATGTTGAATATTCACCCATAATATTACAGTTGTAGACACCGGCCGTCTTCGTATCCGCTTGGCAATGACAGATCATGAATGGCACCGGAGTGTCTAAAAAAATAGAAATCCATCGAAATATTCTAACAAAAACTTTTTTCAAAGATAGTTTATTACATAACTTACATGAATCAACTTCATATTTAACTTTACCACAATGACAGCTTCCTTCTAGTTTAACTGGTTTCGGTTCTTGTTGTTTCTTCTTACTGTCCATTCTTTTTTCTTCTGAATTTTAAAAATCTAAATGGAACCAAACATTATTTTGATGTGATTGTTAACAAAGTTTTAATTAAGCTAGAGTTGGCTTCGTACTGAGCGTTTTCTAAAAAAGAGGAATTAAGAAAGAATCGCAAAATCTTGAAAGGAAAAATGCCACCAAAAAAGAAGGATGTAAATCCTAAGTTAAAAACACTAATTGCACAAATGAAATTCAAAATGAAAGCAAACAGATTATGCAATATGTTTTGGCTTTGTGAGAAGAAAATGATTATGTATCACTGTTAACGGAGATGTTTTATGTCGTCTTTTTTTCTCGATTGATTTCTATTCTAATATCTTTGAAAAATTTTGTTTTACAAAATTAACAGAAAGGAAATAATATCAAACACGTGCCAGAGAAAATGAATACAATCTTCTGAATTCGAACTGTGCAAGATATTTATACATGATAAACAGAGAGAGAAAAAAGAAAAATACAAGTTAAAAGAATTATTGATGACACGACAGATGATGATAGAAAGATAGATAACAGAGATCTAGAAAAGGGAAAAATGCACATACCAAATAGAGAACTGCTGATGACTCGCCATACAATGAAAAGACATTTCTATTGACCACAAAAATACTTCTAGTGCAATAAAGATCGAGGTCACATTAGAGCTGCGACAAATAGCGACTTTCTTTTCTTATTCACGTTATATAGTGTGTGCTCATGTTGCAAGGTACGGTACACATATATAACACACATTAAGACTGTTGTCTGTGTAGAGTGATATCACGTTTCTTTCTTTTCCTTAGTGTGTACGAACGTTATAGGCTTCATGCAGATAAGACGTATAATATACGTCTTTTTTTAATATAGTTTTCTCTTTTAGCGTATCCTGATCTTTTTTCATTCTCTGAAAAATCAAAATTCAATGCTAAAAATCGGCGGTTTGCGGAGATCGATAGATAATTCAATTCTGCATGGAGCTGTTAAATCAGAAAAATTGTTTAGTTGACGGAAGTGGCTGAATTTCCATTAGTGTGGACAAAGTGTCTAAAGACGATAATTCGTAATTCAATGCGAACTGATACGAACTAACAAAAATGATCGAAACCGAACCAAAAAGTTGCGTCTTTTCTTCCTTTTGCCAATTCGTAAATTAGGACGAATTCGTAAGAAAGAAATTTTCGGTACCTACGAATTCGTAAATCGAATTGGTCGACCATCGACGAATTCGTGAAATGATCATTTTGGTCCCCAAGAATTCGTGTACGAATTCGTAAATTGGCAA